GGTTCAAGGCGGGCGGCATGTTCCGTATTCAAGCATCTACGCAACCAGGTGAATCCAGACTTCATTCATATTTTGTTCTGACCCTTGCCCTGTCACGTGATGTCTGGCAATTTCCCCCATTCCTCATGTACTCTTCAACCCGGCATCATGTTCTCGCCATTTTCCCTAGTTTTGTATTATAATATTCCCCTACTCTATTTGTGGCATATAAATTGAACTTATATTATCGTATGTTTATCTTATGTACGGTATTTATTTGTGACACACCTAACAAAAAAGTGAACTGAATAGTTAAAAACTGTATTCAAACTGTTCTTGGTGCAACTACCGGTCGCGTACGCGAAAGCTGGCCAGCAAACATCAAGTGCGTCAACGGTCTACTAGACATCACTTCAGTAAAAAGGAAGGTACCAAATCACATTTCTTCCTATTTAAAAGTTTATTATTTTGTGCTCACAGTGTGTCTCTAAAGCTGATCTTAACATAATATATCTCACATCCCTCATTTTTTATACAGTCCACCATATCGAAGTTTACCCCCCAGATTGTATATATTGTTCATTATTTAAGTCATTTGAAATCTAGCTGTCTTGATTGTTATTATTAACTAACATTGTAAAAACGGTGGAACCGTTGATAATAAATAAACAAATAAATAAATATATTGCTAACGAAGATTTAGACAAAATGTTATTCTTGATTTTCACCCTTTTTTGACACAATTTAAAACCCTTTTTTGACACATTTTAAAACCTCTTGCCAAAATTGTTGTCCCACATACATTGTTTTCAATTTTTTGTAAGTACACAGTAGGCCTACTTACTTACGGGACACCCTGTATTTTATTTCAAATCTACTATCCATCACATAACACCTAAAGGGACTTAACCTATCCTGATAACCGAATTTTGATCTCAACAAATGGCTCATTCTCAACAATGTTAAATTTGAACAAATATTGGCTGCAAAAACAAATAAACAGTAAATCCTTCGATCAATCTATTTAAATTCCAGTTTCACTCATGTTATTCAATGCAAAAAATTTTGTTTATTCTCTTATTATATAACTATGTATGTATATTTGTATATGCATTTCACTTGACATTGTATATTTCATGTTAGATCTAAGTTGTGACGATTGTCAATACACTGTTTTTTTGTGTTTCAATGACAATAAATATTCTTGATTCTTGATTCTTGATTCTTGTAAATAGTCCCATGTAGCCTCGATGGGATAGCTTATTCAGGATCGAAACAAAGGGAATGTTTAAAGCCACCACCCTTACTTATTCGATTCCTATATCGAGCGGCCAAACACGAACTTACAAATCGTCATTGATGACTCTACTTAAGCTCTGAGTTTCAAAAGAAAGCTATTAAAAAATTGTTTTTTAGTGCTTTCCTGAAAGCCGGAACTATATGACTAACATAAGTAAATGCACAAGAACAAATCACAAAGACTGTCAGCATTGCTTGTTTTCTCACCCAAAGTATTCCTACTGTTAGTTATATTTCAATATGAATTTTCAAAAACAGCACAAATTCAGCACCAAAATAAACCAGACATTAGCTTAAGAACATTAAACTAATATGACTTCTTGTTGATGAATGTCCAACAACTTCATTTTAATTGCTTTACTTTTATGTACCGTACATACATTTTTCAGTTACAAAATCTATGCAATTTTTGTGATTATCCCCACAAAAATTCATAATTACCTTTGCAGGTTACCCAGTAGGCCTAAGTGCCCATTTAAATTCTAATGTCAAGCGAATAAACAAAAGCATGTGTCAATTTGCAAGTTTGCAAGGAGCAAGTTCCTACACAGTATGTACCTGATGCACTGGAAAGAGATTTATGTGGTATATAATACAACAGGGAGATCAGGAGTATGATAATATTAGGATAAGTAATCTTAACCTAAACTTATCCAATTAAACAACCTCCTAAAAATCAGAATAAAGTCACTGCACTACTCAACCTCATTCCTGATGTTGGTTTAATACAAGTTTAGCTGAATTTGAGGGGATTTTACGAATGGAAAAATTACTTACACCAATGGGAGGTGAGAATCAGGCTGCAGAATACAACTAATACAAGTGACATCACTTACTAAAATAAGGTTAGTAATCTATGAACCCGAAGTTGTGCATAGGTACATTTCATTTGAGCAACTAGGTTTAAGGATGAATTCTATCAAGGTGTGAGGATGAAAAATGAACATAATTATTAGAGATGAAATTGATTCAACATGATTTACATACGGTAACACTACTGTGGGTAATGGTAGTGCCAGTATTTAACTTAGTATTCCAATTACCTCTCAATGAGGTAGTAGGGTACAACTGTTTCAAGTGGTAAGTGAGGTTAAAAATCCCTGATTGGGGAGATTTCAGAGTAAACAAGCACATGGTAACTAACTGCACTGTAACTTGAAACAACTGTACTATACAATTTACCGCACTAAGTAGGCTATGAAGGAAGATCCTCTAGGCCTGTCACCTATTTTAATAAAGAATGTCAAGCTATGCGCTTATTGGTGGGTATAAGGTAAAATAGTTTAAGACTAGTTGTTGTTATCGACCTAGGTTTATATTAAACCAATATCCACTAAAAAGATGTAGTTAGAAGTTTACTCACCAAGCTTCAAATTGTAGGTTATGACTGGTGACGCCCTGTTATCTATCGCACAAGAAACTTATTCATTTAAAACTTGAACACCTGTCGTGGGACTTCACAAAAATATTTGATCGATTTCAACTGTTATTTAGTTTCTAAGACGACGGCTCTATTGATTGTTGATCAACAAGTTGTTGGAGTATGCTTGAGCTTGTTCTTTCAAATTTAGCAGACGGTACGGTTTTTTTTAGTAATGACATTTGGATTTGACAGTCAGCCTGCCAGCTGGTGATCATTCCATTGAATAGCCAAGGGGTGCGGGAATAGCCTAGGTATTATCGTTGATTATATAATCGGGAGATGTATAATCATTAGTATTATCGAATGGTTCCTTATTTGTTTCCTTATCACGATGACAACCTGCCACCTCGGTTTTTCGGTCAGAGGCAACAACCCGCCCCCCGCCACCACAAAAAACTGATGTGGCAGGTTGACGTGTCGTTGTCAACTAGGTGCCACCACGGAACCCTGTAACCACCAGTTTTTTTTTCAGAGGGGTAGGATTGTCGTAAAGCTCCATTTATTGCCATCTACCCGCCACCTTGCTTGTAGGTGACTAGGCGCTAACTCGACGACCCACCGCCATTTTTTTTTACTAGGTAATGGGTTATCGTGTACGTTCCATGTACGCTGCCGCCTACCCTCCACCACGCACGCCAGTGACAAGGTTACAACCACCACCTTCCATCATGACCACCACCAACACACTAAGACGTGGCAGGTTGACATGTATGGGCTATTGATTAACAGCTGTGTCTAAGGAATATGTAGGCCTTAGTCACTAACTATTGTTTGAATATTGTCGATTCTGTTGACTTAAAGTTTCCTTTGGATTTTGATTTCACGGTGCATATTAGCGAATTCCCCATACAAGGGATAAGCTATTAAAAATTTGTGCTTTACAGTACTGTTTGGCAAAAGTTACTATGGCTGATTATCGAACAGGGTTGTCTCATGTATAGCCCCTATTTGGCTATAATATGGACTCTTTTTTTAATAACATAATTTTGCAATATCACCTTTTATGTTGAATTTGTCCTTCATAAAGTTTGTATATTATATTCCTATGCGCCTACGCTTGTATTTCGCTGGCATGTGTGGCATCTTTAGGGCGTCTTCTTATGTTACAACATTACACTGAAACCGTAGTAGAAATATTTACAATTAATTCATTATATACACACGCATAACATAGCCTGTATACATCCATGTACACACACTAAATAGCCATATATACACACTCATTGTCAGAGGAGGCTATGATCAAGGCCCTACTAGATCGTGTCAAGTGATGGGATTTGTGCTCTTGGAGTTCCTTTTTGGTGGTGCCTTTAGAGGGCCACACGCGCAACAGTGTTAAGTGATGAAATGTCTTGTTGTCAGCATTCTATCAAAAAGTTTTTCTCCCTCCAGATCCATCCTTTTGTTATGTAGTTTTGTTTTTATGTTACGTTAGCTTTTTCACAGTTTATTATGTTGTTATCTCTATTGCCATAGTCTATTATTGTTATGTATCGTAAATTTATTAATGTTAATTATTTACAATGTTGTCATTTTGATGATTACTGATTGTTATTGATGTTAATTATTCACACTTATTGTTATTGTAGTTAATTATTTACACTGTTTCTTGTTATTGTTATTGATGTTTATTATTCACACTGTTTCTTTTGTTATTGTTATTGATGTTAATTATTTACACTGTTTCTTGTTATTGTTAATTGATGTTAATTATTTACACTGTTTCTTGTTATTGTTACTTTTTTCACAATGTTGTAACTGTCGCAATTTTACTCAAACTGTCCACCACCACCACCAAAATTCTTACTCATCTATTGATGTTTTCTATTGTATTATGTTGCATGTAAATCTTGTAATGTATAATTTTGTAAAATGGCGATTGCCGTCGGAATGAATAAATAAATAAATAATAACAACACACGCGTGCTGACCACCTTTGGACCCACGTAATCGTCACATGTTAATAACGGCCGGGTTTAGTTAGTAACGCGAAATTTTCATCAATAACAAAACCAAAGAAATGATCGATACATGTCCATAATTTACCAGGAAAATTAAACTGTCAGTATATAGGCTTTTTCATTTACTAAATAAACATACACTACATTCAATATTTTGTTAACCAATAACCGTTGGAAATAGAGTTCATATAGTATCGTTGTTCTTTGGCGTCAGAAGTCTGCTGTAGTGGCGACTTGTTTATTTACCATACGTTATGGCGTGATGACTTCTACGACAGCAGTTCCGTCAAAATGTAAGTTATATTTTGTTTTTTGCGGTTTTTGTCATAGTTAAGTTAGATCGTGAAATTTCGACATTCTAGTTTTGTATTAAGTATATATTTTAGTGTAGCTTCTTGTGGAATATCTCACCAATAACAGAATTATAGGTAATTATTGTTTGGTGTTTGGTTGCCAAGGCCCTTTCAGAACCCATTGAATAGCCCTAGCTACCATAGTAACAGTATTTTTCATTGAACATTAACTTATATCTTGTTCTTGTTAATTTGTTATCTAGAACTTCTAATGCCTTCCAACCGCTGTTCCATTGTCTATGTTGCATTGTTTGTTACTCGTGGATTTATCTCGAAATTACCCTAAAGGCTAGCAGAATAAAATTATTAGAACTTGGCCTAGGCCTAACTTAGGTCTACTTTAAGTTAGCCTAAATATTCACCAAAAGGCTAAGTCAAGGTAGGTATCTGTTTGTAGTTAAAACTTCCCTAGGTATCAACAATGCGGGTACAGTTTCTTAACTGGGCTACGCTAATATCGATTGAAACTATCGATTCGATTAGTAAACCTTCATGCGATTTTTCACCATCAGCAAGTTTGGTTTAGGTTATGATACTTAGTTTTATTGTATATAGATATATTTAAAAATATCGATTATTAATCAATATTTTCAATTTGATAGTTTCAATAAGAAACTGTACCCAACAAGGCTACCTATCTCCTGAATCAGCTTTAAGTTAGTTATTTTATCTTACCTCGTTATCATTTTATCATGGCATCTGGTTAAAAGTAGGGCCTACACTTAACCCTATATTGCCCTCGCCTGACTTATCACCATAATCATGTTTTAATGGATTTATAAAATAAAACAACAAGCAATTTAACTTATTCTTAACATATAACATACCGGTACCTTAATGTTGCCTGTACTAAACTTATAGATTAAGATTTATTAAACTTTAGTTTTCTCTATTTGGTAGAAACCGTTATTAGAATAGCTTAAGTAGTTTTTAATAATTAAAAGAGTCAATACGCTACAAGTTTATACTTCAAGGTCCTTGCAGAGTCTCTTACCATGATAAGCACAGCACTTCGTAAATTAAATTAGGTTCTTTTTCCGATTTTCTTGAGCAAATCATTAGGCCAAAATAAATCCTAATTAACAACTTAGTACAGTAGGGCCTATATTGTGTACGGTAACATATAACTTAGTACATAACATGTACATATATACATTAACGCCAATGCCTGCACGGGTAGAAAATCCCCTGACAGGCCTGAGTATAGCCCTACAGCGCTAACTTTGCATAAGATATGTAGCCATCACAAAACTGGTGCTATATCAACCTAGACTTCAAGGTCATCTAGTAAATGAGTCTACTGGAAGTTACTCTGAGGGAGGGAGCAATGGGACTTTTTTTGCGTACCTATTTAATCTCACATTTAAGAAGTGCCTGGAGAAAATTTACTCTGTGTGGGCACTTTAGGGTTAAAAGAGCATTAAGTTTCTTAATCTGGTAGCTTTCATTCTATTTTAACAGAAAAATTCCTAGACATCAATGAAATCCCAGGTGACAGCCTGTTATTTTGTTTTTGAGTATTGTTCCAGGCCCACTTTTATAAACGGGCAGACTGGGCATATGCCCAGGGGCGCCGGTGGTTGGGGGGCGCCAGACGGGAGCCCTGAACCACCGCCCGCACTAGGAAAAATAGGGTTTTATCAGCCGGGATTTCAAAAATAAAATGGGTGATTTCAACTTGTAGTTAAGTGATTTTCCCTTATTGCAAAAGTTATAGCCTACTTATACGGCAATACATCAGCTGATTTTTGTTTGCAATTTGGGTGACGTCAGCAAATTACGGGAATAGCATGTAGGCCAGCTGTAGCTGTAGTCTACAGGCCTACAGTTCACGTGCCACTCCTCCCCATCCCAGTCTCACCCCCATCCACACAAGTCACAACTACCAACTACCGCGCGGCGCCAGTACAGTACAGTACTGAGTACTCCTCCCTCAGTAGTCAGTATGTTGTGTTCGTGTTGTGCCTGCTGCACAGTCGTCAAATCAGTCACAACACAACCTAAACTGTGACAGTCACTAGTCAGTGTTGACACTCACACTAGTTAGTGAACCAGTAATAAATAAATAGAGAAGTGTTGATACAAGTAAGTAGGCCTTGTCAGTGAAAAATGCTGCAAGAACGTGAAATTTATTAACCAGTATTTCCAGTGATACGGAATTGAAAACTCCCCTCCCGAAAAAAAACTGGTAAAAAAACACGCTAATTTATAAATATATATTATAAGCATAGGCCTATAGTAGAACCATGGAAAAACATACTCCTTAGTAGAATCTCGTTCAATACGTGTGTAATGCAATGAACTGTACTGTACTGAACAGTAATCAAATCCCTGCGTAGTGCATTAAGCTATTGGCGCAGGGCAATAGGCATACGCATAGCAACTACTGTCAAGTTCATTGCACTCACCCCAACCCACAACCCACCTGCAGTGAATTTCGGCGAACTGATGAGTCAACCCCCCTTCCCTCTACCCCTCCCTACACTGCTGTGGTCAAAACCTTTATAGTTATATATGTATATATATATATATATATATATAAGGGGGGCGCTGCTTTTGGGTTTGCCCAGGGCGCCACTGACCCTTAACGCGGCCCTGTATTGTTCAGTTGGTTTGGATGACCAGATTATCGTACAGCTGGGAATAATTGGCCTAGCAGGTACTTTGGTATCATACGGAGGCCACATTTTTTCAGTGCGCTGCAGCGGGTATGTTATGTTGGGTTATCATAAATATGTTTGTAGGACTTTCCTCACTTTGCTATGAATCAAACAATACCAGATGAGTCATACTTTCTATTTATGATAAGTTAAACCCAACCTAACAACCGCTGCAGCGCACCGTATCAGGGTGGCCTCCATTTAATACCAAAGTACCAACTAGCGTACTGTAAGTTTATATTTGTATCATCTGTTTAAATTATTTTCATACATTACATTCTGTATTATTTAACTTAGCCTATGTAAAATTGTTATTCGGAAGTATCCTGGTGTCATTGCGTACCATTGTCATTTGAATCATTTGCTGTAAAATAGCATTTGTTGAGTTGTAGGCCTACCCATTAGACAATCCATTTTTTAAATTTATGGTAAAAAGAACCCTAGGGCTTGGACTGTTATTATTCCAAAATGATTATCCAAGCTTAAGGCCAAGGTTATAAAGTTTATTTTTATGTGTTTACTTACAGTGTATTTTCACACTGAATCCAAAAATACAATTTCAGAGTCATAAGTCAGAATTTCAGAGACAAGAGTCCTAAGATAAGTGCTACGTGGTGATTCTATCCACAGTAAAATTGTTCCAATACTTGAGCGGATCGGACAAGAGGGTAGGAAAGGCTAGGATATAATGTGGAGAAGATGATTAATTAAGTCAATAACTATTTAACCCTCCGTCAGTTGTATCTATTTTTTAACGCTACCGGTCGCACTATATCTTTCTGAAGATATCTTTAATTTTTTCTTAAACTTTTTTTAAGTACGGTACTTTAGACATATTTTATATTTCCCCCCTAATTTTTATTTTACTTTATATAACAACTCTTGACCTAGCCTATATATTTCATAGGCTACATATTTCACACCGTCCAAGCATTTCTCGATTAGTAAAAAAACATTGTCAGACCATACACGACTGTATCCATTAGTATACAGTTCGACCAAGCCCATCACACTGTATGTAAAATTATACTCAACATTTTCTTTCCTGGGTAAAAACAGTTTTATTTATTTCTATATTTAATGGAATTACTTAGTTCATTGTGTATGATATAACAGATAGGCCTATATCTCTTATATCACATAAAAACGGGACTGCTGGTCGCACTGTATATATCAGATACAACAAAGCAAAAAAAGATATGTGTGTACGAAACAACGCAAACAGCGATACTGAGGTGTGAAGGGGAAGGGCAGGAAGCAGCACAGTGGCCAAGACAGGTTTTGGGCCGGGAACACGAAAATGGCAGAATTGTTTCATGTTGTGGTATTTAATAGATTAGGTGCGTCCGACGGAGGGTTAAAGGCTGTTACAATGCAAAGGTTTTCATACGTCAAAGGCTTCTAGAAATGCAACTCATGGTTGATCATGACTAATCAGTTCAAATATAAACATATGAGGAAGGTCTGGCTTTATTTGGATTTGTGACTGTAAGGTTTTTGAAGATAGGTTAGATTAGGAAGGTAAAGCTTAGGCTATAATGAACTGAGTTATTACTTTAGGCCTACCTCCAGACTGTTTTTGAACAATTGAAATAACCGAGTGGGCTATGTACTTTCACATTTGATGGTCGATCAACCCTTGTTGATTATTTTGTTACTCGAAATAATCGTCTACGGTGGTGATGGCTTTTGCTAATTAGCCATTTCTCTTGGGTAGTGCTAAATTTTCTGATTTCCAGGTTTATATTATTCTGGGGCAAGATATTGTCAAATTTGGTCAAGAAAACAATTTTTGTTTTTGTAAGCCTAAAGAAGGGAAGGTTTACTTCATGGTTTTTTCTTGTCTGATGCGCATGGACTGTGCTTCTAGTTAAAACATTTTACCTATCAAAAATTTGATTCTGATGAAAAAGGGTTGGCATTTGCTCAATCTTCTGCTTAACGTTCTGATCCTAATTACCTTCTTTTGTTGCAATGGAACTTTGTTGTAGGTAGGCGCGTATTCCCACAGCAGTAGGCTATAGCTTGGCACACTATGAAGAAAGTGTAGTTGAACACCAGTTAGTTAGTAGATAGTGTAGCCAGTGTGGGTACTAGCTTAGACATGTATCTTAACAGACACATGATTCTCGACAACCTTTTGACATACAACTTTGATTTGTAGGCCTACAACCGATGTTAGTTTAGGGTCGATAGCCCAGTTAAGCATAGGAATTTTGTTTCATTCTGGGCATATCGGATTAAGGTGCACATCCCTCATTTGTGTCTCCTTATTTAGCTACATGAAAAATACACGCCAGGCTTTGGACGCCTGATTTTGACTGTGCAATTTCACTTTATATTCACACACTGCATGTAAGAGATAAATTAAAAATTTAAACTCGTCAACTCTCATACCTGCATGCACATTTCTGC